AACCCTCAGTGTTGTGCCCGTACCGGACCGGGACCGGCAACGGGATCGCAACCCTCGGTGCTGCGCCCACACCTCGCTCAGCCAGTGAGCGGGAACCGGTCTGTATGTGGGATCCGAACCTTCGGCGGGAGCACCTCCGCACTCCCAAGCGGTGCACTGTAGCAGTGCGCCACCGGGCCGGCCCCTTATTGTAGTTTTGATCTGCATTTCCCTGATGACAAATGATGTTGAGCATCTTTCCGTGTGCTCATTGGCCATTTGTATATCTTCTCTGGAGAAATATCCATATAACTCCTTTGCCCATTTTTTAATTGTGTTTTTTTTTTTTGTCTTTTTTTTTTTTTTTCATGACCGGCAACGTATTGCAACCCTCAGTGTCGCACCGTACCGGACTGGGACCGGCAACGGGATCGCAACCCTCGGTGTTGCGCCCGCACCTCGCTCAGCCAGTGAGCGGCCGGTCTGTGTGTGGGATCCGAACCCTCGGCGGGAGCGCAGCCGCGCTCCCAAGCGGCACACTGTAGCAGTGCGCCACTGGGCCGGCCCCTAATTGTGTTTTTTAAAAATCTTTTTATTATTGAGTTGGATTAGTTCTTTATATGTTCTAGATACAAGCCCTTTATCAGATATATGATATGCAAAAATTTTTTCCTGTTTTGTGGGTTCTACCTCCTTGATAGTGTCTTTAAGTGTAAAATATTTTAATTTTGATTTAGTCCTATTTATCTTTTTTGTTGTTGTTGCTTTTGCTTTGGGTGTCATATCTAAGAAATTATTGCCTAATCTAAGGTCACAAAGAATTATTCCTATATATTTTTTCTTTTTAAAAAAATTAATTTAAAAATTAATGAATAAAATTGTGTGTATTTATTGTGTACAACGTGATGTTTTGAAATATATATACATTGTGGAATGGCTAAATCAAGCTAATTAACATATGAATTATGCTACAGTTATTGTTTTTGTGGTGAGAACACAGCATCCATTCTCAGTATTTTCAAGAATACAATATATTGTTATTAACTGTACAATGTATTGTTATTAACTATACAATAGGTCTCTTGAACTTACCTCTCTTGAACTTACCTCCCATCTAAGTAAAATTTTGTATCTTTTGACTGGTATCTCCCCACCCCACCCACCAACTGCTTCAACCCCTGGTAAACCACCATTCCACTCTCTACTTCTTTCTATGAGATCAACTATTTTAGAGTCTAGAAATGAGTAGATTATATGGTATTTGTCTTTCTGTGCCTGACTTATTTCATTTAACATAATGTCCTCCAGTTCATCCATGTTTTCACAAATGACAGGATTTACTTCTTTTTTATGACTGAATAATATTTCATTGTGTATATATATCACATTTAAAAAAATTATTCATCTGTCAATAGACACTTAGGTTGATTCCATATCTTGGCTATTGTGAATAGTGCTGCAACAAACATAGGAGATAAGATATCTTTGACATATTGACTTCATTTCCTTTGGGTATATACCCAATAGTGGGATTTCTGGATCATATGGTAATTCTCTTTTTAATTTTTTGAGGAACCTCCATACTGTTTTCCATAATGGCTATATCCTACCTTTTTCTGAGAGTTTTATAGTTTTAGTTTTTACATTTAGCTCTGTGATCCATTTTGAGTTAATTTTTGTGTATGATATGAGAAAAATATCTAGCTTCATTCTTTTGCATGTGGGTATTCAGTTGTCCCAGTACCATTTGTTGAAGAGACCATTTTCCCCATCGAATTGTGTTAGCACGCTTGTCAAAATCAATTGACCATAGATGTATGGATTTATTTGTGGTCTGTCAGTTGTATTCCACGATCTATATATCTGCCTCACTGCTTGTTTGTTTTGTCTGCTGGGAAGCTTAGAGCCCAGTGTGAAAACTACTGGCAGGAACCTCAAGGACTGGATGGGTGGACTCACAGCACCCCTGGCTTTCCCCGTTTCCCTTTGCCCAGGCTTCTTTTTGTTGTTATGTGTGCTTTATGATAAGCTGCCTCACATCCTTTTTGTAATGGGGTGTGGGACATTAATAAATGTGCACACTATCCTTAAACTTCAGATGTTTTATTAATAGTTTAAAGTGAAGGGTGGCAAATTTATACATTTTACTTCTGTCAGCTTAAAAATATGAATTTTCTGTTAAATATCTTAAATGTTTCCCCCTGTCAAATTATCATCATCAGCTGGTGTTTTTGCCTTTTTATTTACTTTTAATTGGAATTTAGGTAATCTAACATTTAGTACCTACTTGACTGCTTGACTTTGTTTCTGTCATTAATAACTTATTTTCATCTCCCCCTTGCATATTAAATGTTTATATTTCGTACACTGAAAAGTGTCTTGGTCAGAGAACTGTAAATGTTTATACCTGTTTACTCAATAATCTCATTTCCAGGTATCTAGCCTAAGGAATAACATTAAATATAGAAAAGTGTGTATTCACCAAGATGTTTACCACACTTTAAATTTATAATTGTGAAAAATTGAAAATAACTGATATGTCTTAGAATGGGGAATGGATAAGTTAGCTATATTATAGTCACTGGATGGAATATTGTATATCTATTTTGAAATGATGGTGGTAAATACTATTTAGCAACTTTAGAATTAATGTAATATAACGTAGGTGAAAGAAGCACTGTGTAAAATAGGCATAGCAGAAAGCCTGCATGGAAGTACACAAATGGTAGGTTTTCTTCAAATGGTGGGAAAGTGCCTGATTTTTTATTCCTGTGTAAATTTTATCATTCTTTTGTATCTTTTAATTTAAAAGCCTGGAAATACAGAAATTTCTAATTCTCATAGGAATCCTTTTTCTCCCCCCCTTTTCAGATGTGAATCTGGTTACACTGGACAGCACTGTGAAAAGACAGACTTTAGTATTCTCTATGTAGTGCCAAGTAGGCAAAAGCTCACTCATGTCCTTATTGCAGCAATTATTGGAGCTGTACAGATCGCCATTATAGTAGCAATTGTCATGTGCATAACAAGGTAGGTAATAACGTAAGAAATATCAACTTTAGTTTAGAGTTGGGTAGCTGTAAATTAGACAAAAATCTTGAAGCACACTCAGAATGATAGGCACTTTAAGTCCACAAACCTCTTAGGAAAAATCTCACAATCAGTTCCCTGAGGTTTCCATGTGGGTTTGACCTGTCCCTGTCTTTCTTTTTTATAATATGATCAAGAACTCATTCCCAGAACTTATTCTAGGTGTATCTGGGCTGCAGGCAGAGATGGGAGCATGAGAATAGGCAATGGAATAAAGAAATTTAGGAATCTTAGAACTGTGTACTATCTTTGAGCATTTGAGGACAATAATGGTAGTAGCAGAATTTCTAGAATGGTCTGCACATCCACAGAAGAACCTTGCAGAAATTTTTTAAGGCTTGCAGAACTGCAAGGTTTTTTATGCCCTAGCAATATATTTTGTTCATGGTAAATATAGTAAGAAAGGAAGAAATCAGAGGCTAAAGATTACCTTTTTATTTTATTTTTTTAATATATCACTGTCTTGACATTACTTCATTTTTGGGATTATAGCAATAAGTAATAAACTTTAAAATTCTCTATTATAGATAAAAACATTTTCCATAGGACTTATTTGGAGCACAATTGGCATAAAATGGGTATTTTCTAAACTGAGTGGAAATATACAAGCCAGACTGAACTGGATCTGAGAAAAGTCAGAGCAAATCAAGTTTTAATGCCTTTGTGTTTCCCAGTCTCGTGTCTTTCTTCTTGCTTACCTCTTCATACCTCCTTTAAGGTTTGGTTCACAAGTCCCATAAACATCATCTCTCTACTTCCCTGCATTATTCTGGGCAGAGGGTTGGAGCGTATCAAATACAGATATTGGCAGGCCATAATGGATTTATGACTCTTGTATTCAAGGTCTGGATTGAAGCCAGGCCTTCAGTAGTCTGGAGCTGACATGATAAATCTAGAAATGGTAAAAAATGTTCTCTGAGTAACAGATATTTTTCATAAAATCCAGGCACTAAAGTCAGTGTGCTTTATTCCACAGAACAGATGATCTGCCCTTAGGCAAGACTACTGAGTATAAAATTGGGCAGTAGCTCAAAGTAGGGACATAATGATATAAAAAATGATAACACAGAAAGAGAATATAGGGGGAAAAAACACTTATCAGCAGGGCTGGCCGTGGCCATTTAATATAGGCTCAGAGGTTAAGTAAGTTGCCTGTGGTCATTCAATTCATAAGTAGAAGTGCCTGGATTTGGATTCAGTGCTTCTGATTCCTAAATCATTCTTTCCACTGAACCATCAAGAGGAGGGTCCATGTTGAGTCATCTTGGGAAATATGTTTGCCAAGTATGACCATTGCAAGAGAGTGGGGTTCAAACTTGATTTTATAGCAGTTTAGGGTTTTTGAGCAGGGAAGGAACTTGGTATAAACCATTTTTTTCAGAGTATTAATCTGAAGGTCATCTGCCAAATTCACTGGAGTAGTGAAAATGTGTGATGGGATAGATCATGTAAGACATTATTAGAGTAAAGCAGGAGTAGGGTAATAAATGATTGGGAAGGTGAAAGAGAAAAATAGGGTAAAGTAAGAGAAGAATTTTGAAGTCTGATGATAGTGCCATCTTTAAGAGGATCAAAGGGTTTTAGATTAACTGGGAAGCAACTTTGAGTTCAGCGCCTTCATTTAGAGAAGTGAGGAAACTGAGGCCCTGAGATGGAAGTACTTTGCCCGTGGTTGTAGAGCTAGTTAAGCCCTTGACAGCCCCTAATGCAGCCTTTTGCCCAGCTGTGTGCTTCTGTTCTCAGTGTGCTATCATCATCAACTGTGAAATTAAAATTACCTGGCAGGTAGTTTTTAAGTTGTACCCTCTAGTTTATACCCCGAATCCATTTGCTGCCCTCACAGCCACTTAGACATCACAGTATATTTTGAACTGTGACACAGTGTCTTCACTGCCTACTGTCTCCACAACTGAAGGTCATCTCATTGATTTTATCACAGATTTCATCTTGAGGCCAGTCTTTTTATTGTGTTATTTCCTCCCCTAGAATGTCTTGCTATCTTGGATTTGGAATATTGTAACTATGAACTTGGACTCTTCTCCACTGAATTTTTAAGGAGTGGTTCTCCCACACAGTCTATCAGGGGACAGCTGTTCACGAATCCCATGGTGGCTGTTACATGTGAGGAATCTTCCTTAAAAAGGATGTTTCCACTGACCTGCTTACCAAGACTGCATGAGTCTAATTTTCTTTTTTTGTGCTTGGAATCTTGTTTCATGTTTTTGGATTCATAGAATGACAGATTGGCAGGAACCTCAAACATCATCCTAGCCAAACCTCCTTATTTTATAGATTAAAAATCCCATGGCCCCAGGAAGGTGAAACTTTCCAAGGTCATGGTGAGTTAGTGATGATTAAAGAGGGGTGGTTAACCTCCTAAATAGTTTCCTCATTTATGAAATGGAGATGATTCCAGCTCCCTCTACCTTGAAGTATTTTTATGAGGGTTAGTGAGATAAAATTTGTGAAAAACACACACAAAATGGAAGTATTATCATCAAGGCTTTTAAGTCAAGGCAAAGCAGTACTCTTTGAAATCAAATAAGAATGTGGAACAATTATCACAAGACTTTCTTTTCTTTAGATTATAAATTCCTTGCTGGCAGAGAGTTTAGAGGTTAGTCCAACTCCTAATTTAATATTTAACATATAGGAAAATTGTGGTTGCTCAGCTAGTTATTAGCAGAGCCCAAACTCAAAATTGCCAGAATTTATCCCAGCCCCTTTACTCCACATTGTGTAGCAAAGCACCTTGTGCAAAGTAAGAGCTCATATATTTGCAATCTAGTGGGCAGGCACAAGAGCAGTTACACACAGTGAGATTTGTACCACCCTGCAGAAACGTTTAAGGTTAAGTGAGAGCAGAATCAAGGAACATCCCTGTCTCCAGTGTGGCAGTTCCCTATGGGGTTCTGTGGTTTGTCCCAGCAGGGTGTGAAACAACTTCTCTTGAGTCATTGTCTGAAATCATTAGGCATTTCTTTTTTTTTTTGTCTTTTTTCCGTGTCCGGCAACGGATCGCAACCCTCAGTGTTGCCCCCGTACCGGACCGGGGACCGGCAACGGGATTGCAAGCCTTGGCGTTGCTCCCGCACCTCGCTCAGCCAGTGAGCGGGAGCCGGTCTGTATGTGGGATCCGAACCCTCGGACGGGAGCGCCGCCGCGCTTCCCAAGCGGCGCACTATCCAGTGCGCCAACGGGCCGGCCCCATTAGGCATTTCTTATGTACTCATATCTGAGGTTAATATGCGCACTTCCTGATTTCTCCCTTCATCTAAATTGTTCTTGTTATTTTGGAGGTGTGATAATGCTCAGGGAAAGTACATGGGCTAAGGGCCTTTCTACTATCAGGGGTTTTATGTTACCAGTTACTGTGGCCTAGGGAGTTGATAGGAAGGGTGGGGATTCCTCTCAGGGATGTATACGCAGTAGTCTAGACACTGGGGATGAGTCTTGCTTGTGTCTGTACCTAAATTGTGTATCTGATCTTTTCAACTCCCAGCTTTGTAGGGAAGGTAGAAGTCTGACATCATGTTTGTCCTCACCTTGTCTTGCACCAAATAGGATCTTGTTTCCCCTTCATGTGATTGCGTGCGCAATGGTTTTATGTGTGAAATGTGTATTACTTTGGAAACATTTGAAATATCCTAAACAAAATGATGAAACTCATATTTTTCTTCCTTTCTTTCTTTTTAATGCAACAGAAAATGCCCCAAAAACAATAGAGGACGTCGACAGAAGCAAAACCTAGGTCATTTTACTTCAGATACATCATCCAGAATGGTTTAAACTGGTGACTTTTATATATACACTGACCATGTGATGTACTCTTATTATGTCTTTTTTTTAAAGAATGGAAATATTTATTTCAGAGGCCTTATTTTTGGACATTTTTAGTGTAGTACTGTTGGCTCGTATTTAAAATATTCAGCTACAACAGTTTTGGACTGTTTAGTACTTTGTTTTATGTTTTTAAATACAGAATTTGATTTCATGAATTTGTACCACATGGTAATTCTAAGACTTGTTCTTTACCCGTGGAATGTAATATTTTTGCAAAGATGGACCACTTTACAAATAGTTATAAAGTCATACCCACTTCTTCCACAATGACCACAGGAAATGACCAAGCATGAACTAAAGATAAAGATGTTTACAGATTACTTTTCTTACAAAAAAATTCTAGAAGACACTGTGTTTAAATAGATATTGAAATGTTTTTGAGATTTAGTAACTGATTTTTTAGACACTGCCTATCGCATGAACTATAAAGCTGTTGTGTTAGATGTAAAATCTTTACAAGATGTATGGACTAGAATTGGGATTACTCCTCTCTTTGAAAAAATAATTCTAATAATATGAAAACGTTTCTGGTAGTAATGATGGAACAGATCACTGATAAGTAGATTTAGATAATATGAAAACAGGCTGTTTAACAAACAGATTGAAATAAAGCCTACTCTATCAGTTAAACTACTTTAACACATTCCTTTTTAAAGAAAATATTTGTTTTAACAAACAAATTGTATCAGTGTTTGTGAATAAAATGCAAAAATGATTGTTAATGATTGGTGCTCTTAAAGTGAGACTAAAAATTATCTAAGACCTCTATCCAAATTTGTCCTCTAGTAATAGCTGTATTAATAGATTGTTGGTGTTTAAAGATCAGAAGTGTGAGTAGAATGTATTCAGCTGCTTAACACGTAGTTTAGATATTCAAAAGTATGCATGTAGAATTTAAAGAATATGTTCAAAATTAAATATTAATTTTAATATTTGGTTTGGAAAAGCATGTTATAATATAATGTTTTCATTATATGGCCTCTGTTTTGGTGTGTTTATTTACTACATTCTTTGATCTATAGGTACACTTAATATGTGAAATTAATAGAAAAGGTACATTTAAGTTCACAATTCACTTTTCCTTTTACTAATACTGCTTGAAATTGTCTAAAGGCAAAAAGCTTCACCCAACATTTGGAGTTTGTTTTTTTTTTTGATCATTTGGCTTCTAGGCTTAATATTAGTAACATGGTGGCTTTAGTGAACTTTTTTAAAAAAGCTTTCCTCTTCTACCCACACAGTCTTATTTGAGTCCCTTAGTCAGTCAGCAAGCATGTTTGGAACAGTCCCTCGTGCTTTGCAAGGGTTCATATTGCAGAACAGTCATGTATGGGTATTTGTAGTTATAAATACTTGATCATTCTCCAGGGGTGGGGTTTCCAACCTTTTAAACAACCCTGTTGCCTGTTATTGAGCTGACTTTTTGCTCTAAGTGCTAGAATTCATTGTGGTGGGACATCTTTCACTGAGAAATTAATACAATGGAACATAATGGGTCTGCTTCAAATGCTGATAAAATTCACCAGAATCGCCTGTCAAGTGTTACAGAAGATGAAGACCAAGATGCTGCTCTTACCATTGTGACTGTGCTGGATAAAGTAGCTTCCGTTGTGGACAGTGTGCAGGCAAGCCAGAAGAGAATAGAAGAGAGACACAGGGAAATGGAAAATGCAGTAAAATCCGTCCAGATTGACTTACTGAAGCTTTCACAGTCACATAGCAATACAGGCTATATCATTAACAAGTTGTTTGAGAAAACCCGAAAAGTCAGTGCTCACATTAAAGATGTGAAGGCCCGGGTGGAGAAGCAACAAATTCATGTTAAAAAAGTTGAAACCAAACAAGAGGAAATAATGAAGAAAAACAAATTCCGCGTGGTAATATTCCAGGTAAGCTTGCACTTGTGTTCAGCTTGATTAGTGTAATCTCTTGCATTTTTTAGTTGCCAGCAAGTCTTATCAGAGGTTTTGAATGTCACATCTTAACTATTATATATGATTATGTTAATGCAATGGAGTTCTGTATCAGCAGAGATCTCAGGATAAAACCAATTCTATGTTAACTAATGTGCTATCTATTATTTCAGTATTTCGAGCTTCTCAGCCATTTCATGTAATATGAACTGTGGCTCATAGCTTAGGCTATTTCTTGCTTTTGAAACTTAATATTGGTAAGGCTCTTTTTGCATATTAGCCTAATTAGCGTAATGCCCTCTCATGGACTTTGAGAGTGTTAGAACTAGAAGAGACCTCAGACCTCTAGTTTAAATCATCTCTTTGTTATGTAAAAGAAGAAACTGAGGACCAATAGCCCCACAATATGATTTTCTTCCTCCTCATGGAGAGCCTTACTCCAAATAGTAAAGTATGAACTTTTCAGAATGTAATTTATATATTGGAATTTTTACATACAGATCACCATAATAAGAAAACTATTTCAGTCTGTCTATTGCAATAAGGCAATTGTTCTTATTTTTATTATTGTTATTATAGTAATACAAATATAGGAGTCACAAATAATTTCTTATATTTTTTTACTAGGTCTTTTTTCTTAGCTGATTTAATACAATAATTTTTGTGTGGCATTGTGTGTTGAGCTGAGTTCCTGTATTATCCTGTGCTTACTTGTATTTTTGGAAATAGGAACATATCTATGGCAAATGCACAATATCTGTAATATATTTTAAAAACTTAAAAATCAAAAGGAAAAATGTTGAACTCTTGTGTCATAGTAGAAAAAGTGGGAAACTGTCAATATCAGGCAGTTTATAAAAGACAAAATAAATAACAGTATTCTATTCATACCTGTTTAAATATTGGCAATTACTAAAACATATATACAAAGTTTAAGGGTTAGAAAAAACAAGCATTTTCATACTCTGCTGATGGGAGTATTAATTAGTACAGCATTTCAAGAGGGCAATTTTGGTAGTATGTATTAGGAACTTAAAAAATTCACAGACCTTTTGGCCTAAAAATTTTGTTAATTTGTTCTAAGCATAAAATCAGGAACATGCACAGAGACGTTCACTGCTATATATATATGAAATGGATACCTGTGTGCATAGTAAAAAAAACCTAGAAAAATAAAATCAAAATGAAGTAGGAACACAGTTGGATTATGTAGGCAGATATTTGTAAAATACTAGGGATGTGGCCCGTAACTCCCTGCAGCGTTCTTCACAGATTAGGCAATTCTTCACAGCCCTCTGTTGACCGATAAAGTTACACTGGGATGGTAGAGTGGTATTTTGGATCTGTTTTTAAGAGCCTGTAGGTTATTTAGAAAGAAGAATAGAGAGAAGAGTTGCTAGTTTTCTAGTTCAAAGGTGGACAGGGTGGACTATGCCATTTGAAGTCCTTACCATTTACCTTTCCTTCCAGGTCCCTGGAAGCCCTTCTCCAATATTAAAAATTTGAAAAGAAAAGAAAAAACAAAACAAAACAAAAAGAGTCACCTTCCTTTCAGATGCCAGTTCCAGTGTTAGTGTATGTAGTGGGATCTGGATTTGGAAGGGGAGAATGTAGTATCTGTTCTTCGAGTCACCTTCCGAGGGCACTGGCAGTTGTGGGTATATCTCACCCTCTACTTGCATTGGGCATGCCAGGAAACATACTTGGCATCTGGCACTTCTCCTGAGAGCCTTTGTGCAAAGCAGTGGCCAAGTGCCGAATAAGATTTACGAGGCTAGAGCAAAGAAGTTTCTGGAAAGTTCTCATTGACTCTGTCCATTGATATACATACATTACATATATATATGTATATATATATGAATTATGTTTCTATATTCACCCATTTAGTCCCTGTTATTACTGCTAATTTTTCCTTTCTTTGAGCCACTATAGTTGTTGAAAGCATGAAAGCAACTGAAAGATGCTAGTTTAGGTCAGATTTCTTTTCTTGTAAGATATTAGTTGTTCAGAGTAAGCAGCAGTTTGTCAAAAAGCAATTGTTATATTTTATAATTGGAGAGCTTGTAGAGAAAAGATAAAGGCAAATAACAGTGGACATAGAACTCTGACTTAGAGATTCATTAGATGTTAGAACACTATACAATATCCACATGGTTATTCTTAGCAGTTAAAATAAGATATTATTAATTCACAGGTGATATGTATAAGTGGTTATATTGAGATTGCCTCTTCTACTAAAATTAACTTGAAATTGAGCAGTTCAGCTACAGTAAAAATTATCTGCCATTTCTTTTACAAGTATGGTTTCTTTTTTTAGTATACTTTCACCTTGATGACTCCTCTCATCATGCAAGTCAGAAGTCTTACATCTTTTGATAATTCTGGTTACTAACCATATGCCTGTGGTTATGAAATGAGATATTTGGCTATTCCTTAGTAAGTCCCAGACCTCTAAATATTCAGAATTCCCTTACCTATATTACTTTGATATTCAATCAAGTTCACGTTACTCTGACTCATTGTATTCTTTCTGTTATGACAATGGTCTTTTTACCTGGGCTTTAACATAAAAAGATATAATTGTATTTGGAAATCAACTATAATACAACCACACAGTCTTTATTATTACAGTGTATTTACCATTAACTCTGACTCATAGGAGTTGCAACAAATAGATCCACATAATAAGTACTTTTCTTGACTGTTCCTCTGTCTTGTTTTTTAAAAAGCCTGATTTTGTATTATTTGCTGTTCAGTGGAAGAAGGGTATCTGATTCCTGAGTTAAAATATATCTGATTTCTTCACTGGAAGATTGTGAGCATTTTCCCCTGCCAAGCAATAATTACTCTTTGGCTTCTTCCTTTTCTAATTATACCTTCTCAGGCCATATTAAACCACACTGTGTTGCTAAAGCTACTCCCTGCAGCAGGTGTCAGGAAAGGAGAGGAATAATTTCACTGATTCACCAGAGGGTTATGAGACACCCACCCCTGCCTTTTTTAGCTCCTGGACTCTCCAATTCTGTAGCCAAAGAATTTAATTTTAAATAAGTATCCAAAGAAAATAAAATTCCAGGGATACCTTCTTGACTGTCTTGATAAGTTTTGGAATATGTATAAATGTGTTTTTTATATATTTATTATATTTTTTTGATTGAATAAATTTAGTAGGAACACTCTCCTGGATTTCCTCCTACCTCACTGTCTGATATTTCTCTTTTTTCATTCTTTCTCATGTCTTCCTTCTTATATACATGTACAAAATTTATCACACCAAAATCCAAAAATTTCTAAAAATAAAAAATTTTTCATCACTTACTTGACAGTAACACCTAGATTGACCTGAATTCATTTGGTGGGTAAAACCTGGCCTGGAATAGCATGAAATCATTGATAATAGTCTTCATCTCACCTTCCTGTCAATATTCATATTTTTTGCCACAGAAATGTTTCTTCCCAAGATCTCATTGGGAATACTATGTAATATGTTATTAATTTCCCAAAATCTGAAATTTTCTGAATTCTGAAACACACCTTGGGGAATTTTGAATGAAATGGAGTGTAGACGTACTCACTCAGTCTCTTGATGATCTCTTTCATCTGTTTTCATGACTTTTAATTCCATGTTTACATGAATGACTCCTAAATTTGTATCTCTAGCCCAGACCTCTTTTCGGAATTCCAGACTCCCCTACTCAGCTGCCTATTTAGCACCTGTGCGTGCATGTCCAGTGGGCCTTTCAAATACAAGTTCAGATCCCTTCCTTCCCCTCCAGTCTCTTCCTCCTGCTGTCTTCCCCATCTCAGTTAATGGCAAATCTGTCCTTCGGCTGCTCAGGCCATGTACTTGAGGATCATTGTTGATATTCTCTAAACTTCCACATCCAAATCTAGCAGCAAATGCAGTTGGCTCCTACCTTCAAAGCAGATTTGGAATCAGTCCACTTCTCACCCCCACCTCTGCCAACACCCTCACCCATCTCTCATCTGCTTTATCTGCTAATAGTGCTGTCCAGCTATCCTCCCTGCTGCTTATCTTGACCCTACAGCCTGTTTTCAGATGTGGGTCAAATCATGTCACTACTCTCCTCAAAACCTTTCAAAAGTCTTCCTACCATTCTTGGAGTAAAAGCCACTCCCCTTATTATTGGATACAGAGCCCTAGGTTCTCTGGCCCTCCTGCCTCCCTCTCACCCTGTCTCCTCCTTCTCTTGTCCTTTGATCACTCTGCTCTAGCCACACTGTCCTCTTTGCTGGTTCTCCATTCTTCTCATAGATATGCACAACCTTCAGGTCTAGGCTCAGATGTCACCTTATCTGTGAGGCCTTTCCGACCAATATAGTTCAAATAGTACCCTCCCCTGTCACTGTATGTCCCCCTTCTGTGCTTTATTTTTCAGCTGAACATTCATTGCCAACCAATATACTATGTATTTCACTTATTTGTCTTTCACTCCGTCTTCTTCATAGGGGTTTCCCAGGTTGTAGGATACTGACTGGTAGATGGGGGTTGCTTAGTAACTTTGTTGAATGAAGGCATAAGCCTCTTATTTGACCCAACAATCATTTACTGAGTTATACTTATTACGTATAAGGCACCCTGATAGATGCTGGGCATAAAACATACATAAGACACATTATCTCTGCTTTTAAGGAATGTGTCGTCTATTGAAGGCCTCAGGGAGACAGATATAAATGAGTAGAGTTCCAATTAAACTCAAAACTGTGATAAATGTTATAATAGAGGTATGTACATGTTCTTTTGGTGTAAATTGGAGACAAAATCAGCCAATTGGGGAAGTTGAGAATACTTAAATTGATTCTTAAAGAAAGATTTTGTTCATAAAGCCAAAAAGAGATAAGGTGAGGGGCACTTAAGATAACACAGACCATGTATAGAAAAGCAAGAATACTTAAATTGATTCTTAAAGAAAGATTTTGTTCACAAAGCCAAAAAGAGATAAGGTGAGGGGCACTTAAGATAACACAGACCATGTATAGAAAAGCATAGAGGGATGAAAACATTTTGTGCTTGAGGAATTGACAGTGGTTTATGTTGCTGGGCTGGAGGAGTGGGAATATAGGTTTAGCTGAAACCGAAGAGACTTCCAATCATACTGAAGAATTTGAACTCTATTCTTTGAATACGGGTAATCTTTCCAAAGTTTTAAAGCAGAGAAGAGATATGATCGGAGCTATGCTTTAGAAATATTTCTCAGGAAATATGTGATAATTCTGTTTAGCTGAAACCGAAGAGACTTCCAATCATACTGAAGAATTTGAACTCTATTCTTTGAATACGGGTAATCTTTCCAAAGTTTTAAAGCGGAGAAGAGATATGATCGGAGCTATGCTTTAGAAATATTTCTCAGGAAATATGTGATAATTCTGGAGGTAGAAGGATCAGTGAGGAGGTTTTATACAAGTTCAGGCCTGAAATGACAAGGACCAGAATTTAGACGATAGAGGGAATGAAGAAGGAGGAGGGAACAGACAAGTTGCTAAGCAGCATTATCGACAGGACTTGGTGACCAGCTGGATATGGGATGAGAGGGAGAGAAATATATGGGATGATGATTCTGAGGTTTCTGTCTTGTGTGGTACCTGGATAGGTGTTAGTGCTGAGAGGTATAGGAAAGGAAAAAGTGGAGAAGATGATGGATGGGCCTTGGTTTTTGGACTTGCTAAGTTTGAAGTGCCTGTGTTACATCTAGGTGGAGAAGTCCGCCCATCCTTTAGACACGTCTTCACTTTAGGAGGAGGGGAGAGGTGAAGAAAAAATATTTGTGAGTTGCTTACAATTGGATCTGAAGGCATAGGAGTGGATAAGCTCGCTCAGGATGAACTTGGGAGATGAAAAAGAGAAAAGGGCCAAGGAGAGAGAAACTCTGAGAAATGCCAACACATAAGGAATGGGCAGAGTATAAACAGCCAGTGGAGGAGATTTGCGAGAGAGACATGGCCAGAAGGTAAAAGAGCTGGTCTAATGCAAAGGATGTACTAACATGCTTTGTTTTTCTCTCCTTCAGGAGGAGATTCAGTGTCCAACATCCCTGTCTATTGTTAAAGACAGAAACCCACCTGAGAGTCAGGAGGAGGAGGACGACGTCCTTGATCCTCCAGTAGATCTTTCTTCGGATGAAGAATATTATGTTGAAGAAAGCAGATCTGCCAGACTTAAAAAGTCGGGCAAGGAGCGCATTGACAATATCAAAAAGGCATTTTCTAAAGAAAACATGCAGAAGACACGGCAGAATTTGGACAAGAAAGTGAACAGAATTAGAACTAGAATAGTGACCCCGGAGAGGAGAGAGAGGCTGAGACAGTCAGGAGAAAGGCTGAGGCAGTCAGGAGAAAGGCTGAAGCAGTCAGGAGAAAGGTTTAAGAAGTCTATTTCTAATGCAGCTCCCTCAAAGGAAGCTTTTAAGATGCGTAGCCTTAGGAAAGCTAAGGACCGAACTGTGGCAGAAGGTCAGGAAGGTGACAGGGAGACCGGTGTGGACATCATTGCCAGGAGTGAGTCTCTGGGCCCCATCAGTGAGCTCTATGAGCTCAGTGACACAGAAGTTGAGGTGGCCAGGGTGGCCTACCCTCCCCAGGAAAGAGGGGAAATCCCCACTCCTGAGCCTTTAAAAGTTACTTTCAAACCTCAGGTGAAAGTAGAGGATGATGAATCACTTTTGTTAGATTTAAAGCAGTCATCCTAAAGAGGAATTAAGTATATTGTAGGTATAAATCTTAAATCATGCAGTTCTAGTTCGAATAGTGTAGTTATTTACATTTATATACCATATAGGAAAACATAAATGCTATGGCTGTTTCATGTCTTATGTTTAAAATCATAAGGATAATATTGTATCCATTTCCTTGTAACTTCCTTAGGAATTTTTTTCCCCTGAGCATATATGATTCTAGTAGCTTTTTCTCTTACGTCACTCTCATGGCAGCTGTAGATTTTTAAGTTCCTTTCTCTTGTCCACCAGAAAAATAGTTTCCTAGCTCTGGCCAGTTAGATGTTTGGTCATTCAAAACAATTGAAGGGAAATTTATGGCCATTACTTGTAAGGGAACTCTAAATTTTGGTCTAGATTAATGTTGTGGCCAACCTCAAAGGGGCATAACTAATGTGTGGATTATGTCATCCAGATGTTCAACAGATTTGTTAGTAAATTAGCAATCATGTGCCTTGTCAGTGCTTTTGCATAAGAAAATTGCAAGTTCTGGCCTTGAGCATCTGGCTCTAGCATCACAGCTTTACTTATAGCAAAATAGATTTACTTGGCAATCATCTGCTTTTTCCCATCTATAAAAATGGAGAGGGTTAACCTGTCCTGCCAATCTCAGAGGACTGCTGTGAAGATCAAAGGAAACGTTATACATTGTAGGGAAACCAGAAGCACATCCAGAGGAAACAAGCCCCACGGTTTCCTCAAAAACAGAATCGAAATAATTACACCTTCTGAAAAAGCTTTCAGAAGCCTTTTCACAGAATCAGGAGTTAAAAGATAAACCACTTTTTAGTCAAGACTAACCAAACCTTGGGTTTTAGCTGGGTCTTAACATGTCCCCTGGAAAATCCCTTTCTAATTTTCTTTTGATTTAGGTCTGTGGTGGACTATATATAGCAACATTTGTTCAAGGAGCATGAGGCATAAAACTGGCTGTTACCAAGTGGCCTTTCTAAAGTCAGCCTTGATGCAGTGGGCTTGGAAATGACCTCAAATACTTATGTTTCCAGAGTGAACCCTTCAGGGCCCAACTGTCCAAAACAGTGTTGTTCGTAGGAGTTCATCATAACTTCTTTGGGAGGAAGCCAGACTCCATTTATCTGTTAGCTCTTGATCTGTCCAATGAGGAAGTACATGCTGTTACTAAAGAAAGAGAAGTGGTCATACTGTACTTCTATCACATTTAAGTCTTCTGGTTTTGTAATAGGGAAGAAATGATGGAATTGTCAAATCTGAAGAATTTGGACAACAATCATCTATTCCATGTTTTTTTTCTCACTTTCAGATTAGTTTGGGATAATCATGTACTAGTTTAAAATAGTGAATGCACACATGTACACACAGACACACACAAGTCAGCTTTAAAATATCTGACTCAGTTACCCACATGTTTGGGTTTGGGAGTTTGATTCAGCGTCATTTCCTCTTCACTCTGCATTAACATAAAATCACAAATCATTCATTTTGTTATCTTTTTATGTTGAAAACTAAAGTGTATACAACGTTGAATACTTTGGAAAGAATAATTAAGTACATGTTTTTATTACAGCTTAGAAAAAGCTTGGATGCCAAGTCATAATTCCTTAAGAGCCATAATAAATTAGAATTTAAAGATATTATTACAAAGTTTGATGTCGGTGTCCTATTTGTAAATATTTTTACTAATAATAAATGCAGACAACAACATGCAAACAGTTTGGTATAATAATGCTTCTTATGATAGATATGTTTCTAGTTTAAGAAGAATGTAAAGAAGTTATAGGCTTTTTTTGCTAGCCCTATGCAGAATAAATATCAATTGGGCTAAAATATTTTTTCTGTAAGTATTACTGTCAAGGAATTTTTATAAAGTCAGTTTGCTTGCTAACCCGTAATATAACCAGACGACATTTTATGGAACATTTCTCTTATAGGTATATTTGAATTTTGATGAGGAAGGAATTTTAACCTGGTCAGTTCTTTATTGTGGTAGACTTGATGCCACCCCAGAAACACTAAAATAATTTCATGTGCCTGGAGGTTCATTGTAACTTTGTATTACTCTCTTAGTACTAATATTTTTCCTCCATGTCACTTCTGTCTCCTGACATTTCTTCTCAAAATTGGAGCATTCTTAAATTCCACAGTAATAATTTCTTCTCCTTTCACCTTGTTTTCTTGATGTAAAGATAATGGGCTGCAAAATCACACATCTCATTTAAGGTAAGGAATATTCTAGTCAATGTTCCTTATTTTAAAAGTTTGACAATGCAGAACAGATTATTTTACTCGTTTGTTTTAGAAATTATACATATCAGATTTTATACAATTAATTCAAGTAGAACCATTAGCAGGATTTATCCCTTTTCTTGATAGGAGGCAGAGCAATGCAACGTCTTCAGATACCATAGGTGTGGAGCTCACTTAAGCTCTTCTACAGACACAGTAGAGTAGGGAAGTGCAAGTCCGTCTCCTGCATGCCATGGTCCAGGTGCTTGCTTCTGTGAGTAGACGATGGCCTGATTCTGGCCTAAGGGTTAGAAAAATGGCTGATGTGAAACATAGTGCATGAAAATGTAGCTTGTTGAGAAGATGGGGGGGTGGGAGGGGGAATCCCGTGAGCAAGTTTTTATAATTTAAAAATACAAACCAAAATAAAAACAAACCATTTTGACTTCCATCTTTGCCTTCCATGCACATTAAAGGGTTTGGTTTAAAACAAGGCCTGAAGTTCACTGTGATTCTTTCAGCAAAAAAGTGTGGGTCATGTTATGTAAAATATTCCACAGAATCATTTTTAACTGCAATTCCATTACGTGAAATAACTGGGCCTTTTTTTTTTCTTCTGAGACATGTTTTCTGTAGCTTCTTTTGTTTAACCCTGCTAAAAAAAAATTATAATGATCCCAAATGGGGAGAATGACCATTGTGGTCTTATCCTCAATTCTGTTTGAATTTGGGGCATGCTAGTACTTGGTCTGTAGTGGATGAAAAATGAAAAAGCCTTGTGATAAATTTTGTGTGTCATTCTTGTGACCACCTCTGAGTTATGTCATGACTCAGGATTTATAGCTGTCCTTCCCTGGTCAAATCCATCAGTATATTTCATAAGCAGTAAATAGGAGATCTAGGGTAATTACTACTACACTGCCTCTTAAGACATTCAAGGATTCCTGAGAGATAGGATGGAATGGCAGAGTATCCTTGGGCTTTGAATTTATTTGGGGCATGTTCCTAAAATCAGCTGTGCTTATCAAAGGCCCTCCCCAACTCTCTGCCACGTGTTACCTTTGCTCATGCCGTATTTCTGCTTGAAACACCATCTTTCCCTTTCATTCTGAGAGATGACTTTTAAGTTCTGCAATAATGTCAATTTTCTAGTTTTAGCTTTCCCTGATCACCTTATCCCTTACGAGGGGCATGATTAATTACTCCATATATTCAATACATAAAACATCTTCATGTGTCAGATTCTATGTGAGACACTGAGGATTGAAAGATGAGTGGAAATCTCCCTCCCCCTCCTTCCCAGCCCTTTTGTCAGGCTCACAGTGTTCTGGGAGACAGTCCAGCAAAAATTCAGCAATGCGACTAGTGCTGTGTATAAGACGATGGAACTGTAGAGACGGAAGATGCTTATATAGCATTTTGATCATACATCTGTCCTGGCATTTGTGTCGTATTATAATTTGTGTAACTGTCTTCTAGACTAGACTGTGCTTCTCAAGAGCAGGAACTGTATTTGACTCAACTTTGGGTCACCAGCACTTGGAGAGCCTCCCCTGTGCTAGCTATTTGTATCACGAATCAGGAGGTGAAAGGTGTGATTCCTGTGCTTAAGGAGCGTTTCCCATGGCGGAGGAGATAAACACATGCTAAGATTGAAGAAAGGATGACAGAGGAACATAGAGGAAGAACATCTAACAG